AAATAAAGGGGATAAAATACGCTGTATCCTAAAGGTCATAAACTATCAGTGAAGGGGAACCTAGGGAGATAGGACTAAATGTAATTACAGGAACCTGGAACCCTCAGAAATGAGATGCTAACTAAGGAAATCTGAAAAAAGTTTGGATTTTAGTTTAATACCAATATTGACTAATTGCCTACTGTATTAATTAATTCAAGATGTTAATAATGGGGGACAGATGTTAATGAGGGATGATTACATAGGAAGTCTGGAAAACTTTAATCTTTCTGTAAATCTAAAAATACTGAGGGCCTCACTGGTGGTGCAGGGGGTTAAGACACAACCTGTGAAGCTATCCGCAGCCACTGCAGCACATGAGTTCAATCCCTGGCCAGGGAGCTAGCTACCCACATGGCATAGCAGACCTCTCCTGACTAGCCTGCTGCTCCCCTCAGCAGAGTATTTTAGTGAATGTGTCTGTTCTATTCCGCCACTCTCTCTCTCTCACCCCCCACCACCTCTGGCCTATACCCCAGTTCTTACATACATAAATAAATCTTTTTTTAATTACATTTTTTTTTTAATACAAGCACTGGGTACAGTCAGAAGCGTGGGAGAGTGAGAGAATTCACCATAGCGGGGAACAGAACAGGCAGACTGATGAAATAAACTGCTGAGGGGAGCAGCGGGCACAGCAGGAGAGGTTTGCGTGCCATGTGGGGGACCCTCACCGGGAATCGAACCGGCGCTGCAGAGGCTGCAGGCAGCTTTCCTTCCGGTGGCCGGGAATCGAAACCAGCACTCAACCACTGTGCCACCAGAGGAGGCCCATATACATAAATAAATCTTAAAAAATAAAAATAAAAATACTGATTACAAATCAGATAAAATTTGTAAATGACTTAAAATACTTTAATTCTAAGGTGAAATGGGCAAAGTTAAGGTTGCCTAAGTGCATCAGCAAAAGGGAAGGGAAGTAGATTTATATCACTTGATCTCTCTGGAGTTTGGATCTTTATCATGTATATCATTGTGTGTCCCATTAGTTTCAGTGGAAAAAAAGGATTAGTGAATAGTGTTAGAACGTGAGAAATACACAAAATTGCTAATCACTCAATGTCTGGTCAACTGGGGGAGATTATGCTGCATCAAAAAGATCCCTTTGTCACCTTCCTTTTCTTTAGCATATGCAGTTTAGAAGTTCTTTGACATTCTTTTATCCTTATAACAATCCTGGACATAGAACAGACATTTTTACCCCCCATTATCAATGTGCATAAATAGTACTGTTTTTCAGAATGTAATTTTAAAGGTGTAAATCATTAAAATTACTGTTATTTCTCCAGCTAAAAATCCATTGGAGCCAATGTGTATAAAATGTTTTATATACTTTATACAAAGGGAAGTTGGTATATTGTCTCACCTTTTAGCTAGGTGTTAACGTTAATATGAAAAATACAATATAGAATTCTTTTTCAGAATTCCGTGTCATGGTGTAAATGGTGAATCTTGAAATATTTCATAACTTTTTATATTTTTATTGTAGCAGACATTTAGATTAAGCCTAAAAGAGTTCTTGCCTGATTGACAGTAATTTTTCAGAGAAAATTATACTGAGGAAAATTGTGGAATCTATCTATCCTTAGAGACTTTAAAAATCCATTAAAAACTCAGACCATTCCAGTGATTTAGAACTAAATAAGGATAGCTTAAGCAGTTTTCCTAAGTTTATCGGCCCTGGGGGAGGAAATAGGGGAAGAGAAATACTTATAGGTGGCATTAAAGGACAATGACTGCCTCTCATTTTTGAAAGTTCTGTTGCACCACCCTCCAGGCTGCCTGAAATGAGGACTCATTTGACAGTAGAATAGACCACCTGACTGGACACAGTGGCCCAGAATGGTCAGACAGTAACAACAGTGGAGGCTTCCTCATAGGTTACTTTTCATTTTTTGGTAAGCTTTCTGTTACTTCCTTACTTAGAAGGAAATAAATTGCATTTATTTTGAACATACATTCTTTCTTACTAGAAAATAAGTAGTTATTTTTACTAAAGATGACCTTATTTGTTAAAATATAGCTTTCTCAGGCATTTTTAAAAGTCTCTGTTCTGTCACACTTAGAAAAGAACTTCAGCTTTGACTTTTAATTCTTAATTACTGTTTTAAATTTCTTTAAATTTGTTAATTTTTTTCTCATTGACCATTTTTTTCCATGATAAGGTATGGTATTTTAAATAATATGTCATCAGGGTATCTCAAAATCAAAACCCAGATTTCAAAATATTTTTTTAAATGATAAAATATCTTGAAAAATATTTTTTGAAAAATACTTCTTCACTTAAATTTTTGGCCTTTTTTTATTAGCTTGTTTAATTGTATAATGGCATAATGGACATGTAGTTTAGAGGAAACCATTTTTTGCAAAAAAGAAATATTTTGTTAAGACTATCATGTTTAGACAGATCAAATTTATGTATTTCATGAATTAGTAACTTTTCTTGAAATGGTAACAGGGAAAGACTAATAATAGGTCTGACTTAGGACTATTTTGGAAGTATCAGTAGTTTTTTAATCTCAGTCTGAAAGAAAAAGAATGTGTGAATGTGTGTTCTTATGTTTTAGAAGTTTCTTGGTTTTCATTACTGATGTATTAAATTATCAATTGCTATAACCCAAATAAAAACTCTCTGTGGTTTTTAGTAATTTTCAAGAGTATAAAGGGTTCCTGAGACCAAAATGTTTGACACCTTCAGTGTATGATTTAAATTCAAGACAATTATAGATAAGTAGGATATACACAGTATTTTGATAAACAGAAGATAGTTGTAAGACTCAAGGGAAGTACTGAGAAAAGCCAAGGGTTAGGAGATTTTTAAGAGTTTGATTTTGGTAAATATAGTAAGTAAGCTCTTCAGTTAAGTTTTTCTGACTTAGTGGACCCTGAGAATTACTCATTGCCTATTAGAATTGAAAATAAAACCAGAAATTAAACTGGTTTAATTTTTTATTGTAGAAAAAGAACAAGTTAGATGTCTTAGATGGATTTTTTTAAGTCTTCCTTATTAATAAAAGGGAATTTGAGGGTTGATACTGAACTTTTTCTTCATGCCATGAATTGCAGCTGGTGTATATGTGTTTGGGGCCATCAGTGGACCCTATTAAAGACCAACATACTCAACAGAATTTTTAGTTTTTCTAGTAAAAGGTGACCAATTAGAGACATAGGAGCAGTAGAATGATTTAATGTTGTAATGTCAACATCTGAAATTTCTGCCACTGTTGAATAATTATGTTATTGTTAACTTTAGTTGCCTGGTATGTTCATTTAGCCAAAAGCTATCTGAAAATACCAACAATGTTTAAAGAGGAGGGCAAGGAGTCTCTAAGAGTAGTAACGCATAGAATTACTGTGGCACATGCCTAAGAATTAGGAATGTATTGTATCTTTATACTTGACAAAAGCAAGCAAATCAAATTATTCATTGAATTAGAATGTTAAATAGAAATAGTCTATGAAGCACTGTAACTGTGCTAACATGGAGAAGTAAATTTCTATTTTAAAATTAGATCCTTATTTCTGGGATTTACTGTAAACAAACTGTACGTGAGTGAAACTAAGATTGACCGTGAATTAGTAATTGTTAAATCAGTGTGACAGATATATGGGATTTCATTATTCAGCCTACTTTTGTACGTATTGCAAATTTTTCCAAAACAAAAAGTGAAATCTAAACAAATGAAGAAATAAGAGAAAGGGGATCATAAAAGATGGTTATCACCAAGGTGCTGAAATAAACTCAAGACAGTGCAAGATTGTAAATGAGAAACTGATGGAATTCTCAAAGAGAAGGGATAAAAGGAACTTGGAGGGGGAGATTCTGTAAGTCAGAAACTTAAAGAGGTTAAGAACTGTTAATCTTAACTTCAAACTGCCAGTGAAAAGTCATAGTAGTTTCTATATAAAGTAAAAAGATCAGAAACTTGGCTGAAAGAATAAGATAACTGAAATCAAAGGTAAGAAGAGCACATCCTTAGGACATACACAAGAAGGCTGGAAAGAGAAAAGAAGAAATAAAACATGAACATTATGGGACGACAGTGCTAAGGGCCAGTTCTATCCAGGTATGTCATGAATTAACTTTGTTTAGATTGGATGTCTGTTTCCTTTATCACAGGAAGGAGAAAAAGAGCATTTAATTCATTATTTTAGGCAACTGATACTGAATAAGCTGGTATGTAAGAACTTAAGGGATGGTAATTGAAAAGTAGATTAAAAAATGTTGAGACTAAAAGGAATTTCAAGAATGAATGACTTAAATATCTTAATGTTGATATAACAGGAGGACTGGAAAGTAGAAGAAGGAAGTGTTAAAATTGATAGGCAAAGGATGAGAAAATATTGAAAGTATGTGTTATAAAGACATTCTTTATACTGGGATGTTTGCAAAACTTGTGTTCATTATTATTTGGAATTAAATATTTTAATATTTTCTCTAGATAATTTGAGTAAGTTAAATGATATTCAAGGTGATTGTCTCTAGGAACCAAAAGACTTACGATACATGAATTGTATTGATTTTAAGTGTGAGTTTATGAACAACGTCACATGCATGTGTGTGTGTATAATATATGATAATATATAAAATGTGTGAGTTACTATTATGTTGAAGATAAATTTTAGATCTGTATCTCAGTATAAACTAAGAAAGTGAGTATTTCAAGTCTCTGACTTGAAAATATATTTATACTTTGTTTGCTTTTCATAGGAAATGGGCTGTTATATTTAATTTTTTAAGATAATACAGGTATGTACCTTAGTTTTAATAATGATTCATTCAAACCAGTTATTTTTCTCTAACTGTATGTATCAGCAACCCCTTTGCTAAATGTAATAAAAATTGACTTTCAGGAACCATTTGGAATGGTCAATCCTCAGCCGTGCCGCCATCGTGCTTAAATTGGTTTTTGTAAACGACTTGTGTGTGTTTCGTAAAATATGCTTTATTTTAAAATTAGGGCTTCCTGTTGCAGCTGTTCCAGGAGCTCTGAGTCCTTTGGCTATTCCAAATGCTGCTGCAGCAGCTGCTGCAGCTGCTGCTGGCCGAGTGGGTATGCCTGGAGTCTCAGCTGGTGGCAATACAGTCCTGTTGGTTAGCAATTTAAATGAAGAGGTTAGTAATTTTCTAATTTTTATTCTCTAACTCCATTTCATTTGTGAAAGTTTTTCATGTTTATTTCATTTTGCACTTGCCTTTCTTTTTATGTACATTCATTAGTCAAAGTATTTTCTGTATGTTCCTACTTCTGAATAAAGTCTATGTACTTGTTTAGGTAACAATACTTTATTTCCTTAGATGGTCATATTTCTCTCTCTATATATATATTTTTTTTTAACCTAACTACCTATTTTTCCTAAGAAAAATATGGTGAAGTACTGTAGTTTGGCTTTTTATCTTTTTGTTGTTATCAAAGGCAACTGTGAACCAATTTGCAGATTTAACTGTAAAACAGTTTTGCTCTTTGCCTTTCTAATTATTTGCTTATTCATTTCATGCTTATGTGTCATTGCATTTTTTTAAATCTTATTTTATGTGAACTACTCTAATACATTTTTCTTTGAAGGTTCTTCCAATGATCTTGACGAGGCACTCTTCCAGCCTTTCTTAGTAATTTTTTCTTTGCAGTTATTAGTCATTGTCGTCTAAAAATATTTTTCACTTTATTCCCTCCCCCCCTTCTTGTTAAAGAAAATTTATTGCTGAGTTATTTTCTTTAGTTGTACATTTTATGTCTGGTATATTTTATTTTGATTGCTATGAAAGCTGGTATGAAATGTGGGAAGCTCAATGTATCAGTTTATGGTGTCTAATTTGAATATTTGTTTCATTTTAATTGGCCTTTGTTAATATGAACATAAAGCTTATTTTATCATTTAATACTATTGTCATTCACAGTTCTGCATGCTAAAATGTTTGAATCAGAGTGCCCTTGTTTTTATTTTAAGACTTTTGCCTGCATTTCATAACCAGCCATGCTTATGCAGTTAAAGTTCAAAGTTTAAAATTCCTATGCATGCTTTCCTTCCCTATGTTGAGATGAAATGCTGTAATTTACTCTTTGATATAGATGTACTTTACCCATATTTGTCTTGGATGACTACATTTTACTCAGTTTTTCTTGTACAGTACATAAACCAACCATTTTCTGACCAAATTCCTGCATTTCCTATGTACTGACCTATATTTTATTTTTTTTTTGTTCCCCGATTCCTTATTTTTTTCTTCTGCATTGCTGTTACCCTTCCCCATTTCATCCTTTTCCCTGTGTGTTCACCTCCCCTTTCCTTGTCTTTTCCCAAATGCCCATTCCCTTCCCTGTCTTACCTTTATTTTCCTTGTCCTTGTCTTCATTCCCTGTCTCCATTCCCTATGTTCATGCTTCTGTGCTTGAACAAATGTTCCTCGGACCAACTTGCCCCAATTAACCGCCTTGAACCATGATCCATGACCACCTCACCATTCTGCGGGAACCACCCTTCGTTATGGATGATCTGTTCATCTCCGCTCTTCCTCGACTCTTCTCTCTTCTTGTCTTACGCTGCTTGCTCTTCTCTCCTTCTAAAGATGGTTACGCCCCAAAGTCTGTTTACCCTCTTCGGTATGTTATTGTTAGCACTATACTTTTATTATTGATTTGATTTTTGTTTCACTTTAATTCTTATTTGTAGCTAGCACTTTGGCTTAAAGTTGAATAGTAAATCTTTTGCTATTTTTCTTTGCTATTTAAAACTCTCCATAGACACAAAATTTATTTTAATGCATGCTGATTTATTTTGCATGGTCTTTAATTTAATATCATTCACATAGCTTTGAGGGTTTATCAAAAATTATTCTTTTCAAAATTCACTGTTCAAAATCTTGATCTCCTTTATTCATTTGTGAGAATGAGGAGTTTGAATGAGTGATCATGTTGATGTCTGAATGTTTCATTAATATGTCAGAAAGATAATCTTTAACTGACTTGCCCGTAAAATTAATTCCATTTTTGGATTACCTCTCTGTGGCTCCAAAAAAGGTGTTTATGGAGATGTGCAGCGTGTGAAGATTTTGTACAATAAGAAAGACAGTGCTCTAATACAGATGGCCGATGGAAACCAGTCGCAACTTGGTAAGATTAAATTATGTAATATCTATACATTCTACGATCGTCAACTATATAATGTAAATCTGTGAATAAGCAAACCTCTTTATGTCAGGTATAAATCTCTTTTTAATAGCCAGAGCTTACAATGTCATATGTTTATGTGTCAATGTGAATAGTTATAGATGATGAACATTTTTCTGCTACCTTCTTTATAATTTTCCACAGTCTAGTGGAAAAAAGTTTTGGCTCTCAATGCAATATTAATTTCACATAAGAATTATGGCATTTAAAGATTCTTGGTATTTTCTGTTTCTGGTCACACTCTAAGTGATAGAAATTAAACTAGTCATATAGTCCTTGAAATCCTGATTAATTTTAAAAAGTTATGTGGAAAATGTAATTTAGAGCTACCAGGTTCTTACAAAATGAAAAACCTGTGCTGAAAACATTATTGTTTTTGGAATCTTAAAATATATTGTAGTCAAGTTATACTTATTACTTAAATGATTAAAATTTGTAGTTTTGACTTCCTAGACAATATCAAATCACAAATCTAGATTACAGCTATGTATTCACTATGTGATTGATTGAATGTAAATATCAATATGTTCGAGTTCTATTTATGGAAATTCAGGGATGATATACTTTTATAATTTTGAAGTTTGCCCTTTTTGATGAGATGATGACTGGACCTTTTGGCCTTTGGTGTTAGATGTAGTTCGGTAACTCAAGTGTAGAAAACTTTATTGGTCAATAGAGAGAACCCATCTTTAAAGCAAGACATGTAAAAGTGCTAATCATGTTAACATATGCTTAGAATTTTTCTTCTTCTGCTTGGGTGCACTTTAATACTCTAGTGGGGTAGTTATAAGTAGTATTTTACAGTGTCCCATGCTTTAGTAAAAAAGTCTATGAGAATAGTTCTTACTTTCTCATCCCCCTGTGAGGTGTGGGTAGCATTAGTCTCCTATAAGTAAGAGATACACAGTTATTATGGTTGAGAAGTACCTGAGATAGAATTTAAGACTCTTGGATATTGTTTTATGTAGGTTTATTTTAAATTAATAATTTTTATTTTCATTATACTTGGTTAGTTACAAAATGTTACTGAGTCCCTGCACAAGAGATTTGTTTTTTTCACAGTTTTGGTGGGGACTTCCTTCCTGGCTTGCAGATGACTGCCTGTTTCCTTAGATGACTTTTCTTCTAGATCTCTGATGTCTCTTCCTTTTAAAAGGAAACCAGTCTTATTAGCTAGGGCCTCATCCCTATGAATGTACTTAACCATGATCACCTCCTTAACAAAAGGCTCTATAGCCAAAGTCATGGGGGAGAAGGGGAAGGATTAGGGCTTCAATATAGGAATTTTGGTTGAACACATAATTTTGGACAATCTTTCCACTAAAGCTTTGACTTAGAGGCATTAGTTCTATTTATGTCTCGTTGCTATGGTAGATTGTGCTTTATGGTCTTGCAATATCAATAAACACATCTCAAAACCCACATAAAACTAGAATGTGCTATTGAAAAAATAAGACTTAATATGCTTTGTTTCTGGGCTCTGTTCTCATTCTTCTTGGTTTTGATTGTATTTAGAAATACAGTTGACTCTTGAACAACGTAGGGGCTAGGGGCACGACTGTCTCCCCACCTCAGTTAAATCCCTGTCTCACTTTTGACTTAAAAACAACTGATTAACACAATTTGTATGTTATGTGTATTATGTAGTGTATTACAATAAAGCTAGGAAAAATACATTGACAGTACTACATTTGTTGATAAGATAAATATGCATAAAAGTGAACCCATATTGTTCAAGGGTCAACTGTACTGTTTTACCATATAGGCAGATATTTTGATGTTTAGGAGAAAGGATTGGCAAGAAATATTGAGATACTAGTGTTAAGCCAATTAGATATCTAAAACAAAACATGAATGTTTTGCAAATATTAGCAGCCATATTAAATCATTTCAAACCAGAGCTTTAAAACTTACAAACATTAAGTTATTTCTTTAGTAAATTCCTACCATTTTAGAAGTATAGCTCTTCAAAGATTAAAAATAAATTCTACCTATAACTCTAGAGTTATATTTAGTATATATTGGCTTTCATTTCAACTAGAGAGAAGCATTGCTGTCCTCATAAAAGAGATTTCAAGAGACATTTCCTCCTAAAACAAAGGAAAGGAGGAGAAAAGAGCAAATTATATGAGAAAAACAGAAAACAAATTGAAAAATTGTAGAAGGCGAGATGCAAAAAAAAAAAAAGCAAGATGCATTAGTAATAATCATAAAGGGAGTAAATTCATCCATTAAATGAACAATTTAAAAAAAGCTGCCTATCCGCTATTTACAATAGTGTTGGATGGGGAAGGGTTGAAAGTAAAGAAGTAATAAAAATGATATATGGGGCAAATAGTAACCAAAAGAAAACATAATTATAGTTCACCAGGAAGTCACAAGCTTTATGTATGTTTGTGGCTAATTAAAATGGCCCGAAAATATATAAAACAGAATTATAGATTGAACTGAGCAAATTCACCATCATAGCAGGGGATTTCAACCCACCTTTCTGAATTATGTTTCAGATAGACAAAAGAAATGATACAGCACAATTATCTAAACAGAATTATAAATATATAGTTAATTTATATAACAGTTATGCAGGGAACATATTTTTGTAACTACATGTGTCAGTGTTACGGAATGTAAATGGCAAAGTTCATGCAGACTGCATTCTCTGACTTGCACGACTAATGAATTCTGAAAAATATTTGAAACTAAAAAATGTACTGTATAAATAAGATGTGTGGTACAGTGAAAAGTGGTGTTTTGATAGAAGGCTTTAACTTTAAGAATAATGATTTAAACCCAAGGAATGGAAATGATAAAGATTAGAAAGCTACATGTTGGGTCCTTTGAAAAGACTAAAAATAGACAAATGGATGTCCGTGTTCATTTTTAAGAAATGAGAGGGGCAACACAAGTATCTTTAGTGACAAAGGGGACAACTTGCTAGAGCTCTTATTCCCATTACATAAGCTGCAAACATCTGTAAATCTTAGCTTTCATTCCTTAACATCTTCAGCGGGGAAAGAAAACAATTATATTCAGAAAAAAAAAAAAATGCCATTTTCACTGTGCAACATTGACTTTTCTGCCATTGATTACTTTATTTATGCCATATTTATTTTTAACTTAAAAATCCCATTTCAGATCTCTTTGTCAACAATTAGCTGACTTAGATAGACCCTTTCTCATTACTTTTTCCTGGGATAGCTGTTGGGTTTTTTGCTTTAGTTTATAATCCGATTCTCTGTTACTCCTCAGCTTTATACAGTTACCATGCCTAGAACTTTTTATTGTTTTCTTACTCTGTCACTATCTCTTTGTCCAGTCTTTTTATAACTTTTCAAAGGTTTACTATGACAGCTTTCTTATGACAACCTTACTTTATACTTTTTCCCCAAAACTCATTTTCTAGAACATTTTGTGAGTTGGTAGCATTTTAAACAAGCAAAATAGAATTACGGAACTTTTAAGATATTTTAAAACTCAGAAAAGTTTTATTATAGAGAGATACGTACCACCACTATGGTTAAGTGAGTTTATTTTACAGGTATAAATTCATAAACATATGTGAAGTGCAATATAAAGTTAGAGAAAATTCAAGCCTGAGAGATTTTTTTTCTGTTAGCCTCAGTTAGAAATTTAACAAAAAAATTTTTAATCTGTAGTAGCACTACAATAAGATAATCAGGAAGAGTAAATTGTTACAAATTAAGGAGGAGATATGTGAAAAAGTATTTTGATTATTTTATAAATTGTACTTTAATACTTCTACAGCATTTTCCTTTTTTGTATGACAGGATGCATGGACTTAATAAATTGTGGTTAACTCCTGTCAGAGTATCTAGTATACTAATGAATTAAAAATACTTTTAGAGTACGGATTTTGTTCTCATGTCCCCGCTCTTCTCCACATTGCTTTTACCTCTCGAATACCTTTAATACTTTGATTTGGCCTTCAATTTAGCTAAAATATATGGTAGTAGCCACTGTAATGTTCTGTTTAGGCACCGTGCTGTGTGCTGGGATGGTTCCAGTCTTTGTGTAGCTTACAGTCTGAAGGAGGATATGGATATTAAAATAATGATACATTTAAAAAGACGTATACTGCGTGGGAATATTTGAACCTTTCAAGAGTATATGGAGAGGCCTTCCTGAGGAAGTAACAGATAAGGAGATGAATTGTTATTAAATAGAACATCAAGCACACAGGGCTAAAGATAAGAACTAGGACTTGATTAAAGAAAATTTTTGTATAGCTGGAACATAAAGTATAAGAAGTACTGTACTAAAGTACTGTTTTGTGAGATCTAAATGGTTCTTACTACTTGATTTCCAGCACTAACATAGTGGTACTGTACATTATTCATAGATAATCTATTCGAAGAATAAGTTTAAACTTTATTCTTAAGGGTTTTAAGCAGGTATAATGATCAATTTTGTACTTTACAGAGGTCTTCCAGCTGCAGTGTATAGAATTGAAAATAGAAAAATTCACTGGGAAGACAAATTAGAAGATTGTTAGCCACATAAAAAGTGGCAATCCTACATGAATAGATGAATTTGAGAGAGTTAGGAAGAGTATCATGACTCGTGAAAAAGGAGAAATGTTATCAATAACTTAAGTTCTTTCTTGAACACCTTAAGTATATGAAAATAGCAGAATTGTTAAGAGATTCATAATCTGGATTTTTTTTTTTGCCACATAGCATGTCTTCCAATGCAAATAAAAATACAGGACTCTATTCTAAAACTTTGTTGCTTTGAACTTTGTTCATACTGTTTTTTAATAAGCATTCTTTCTTTTCGTAGCCATGAACCACCTTAATGGACAGAAAATGTATGGAAAAATTATTCGTGTTACTCTATCTAAACATCAGACTGTACAACTACCTCGAGAGGGACTTGATGATCAAGGGCTAACAAAAGATTTTGGTAATTCCCCATTGCATCGTTTTAAGAAACCTGGATCCAAAAATTTTCAAAACATTTTTCCTCCTTCTGCTACCCTTCACCTATCCAATATCCCGTAAGTATTAAAACTGGAGATTAAGGATATACACACTTTAGGAATAAAATATAAAATGTATTAATCTTGACTCTCTTTTCCCCCATTTAATTTTCCTAGTCCTTCAGTAGCAGAAGAAGATCTACGAACATTATTTGCTAACACTGGGGGCACTGTGAAAGCATTTAAGTTTTTTCAGTAAGCAAGCTTTCTTGTCTTTAAATTAGTGACTTGATAGAAGTAAAAGTTTTCTTCAAATAGTTCTTACTCTTTTGTTTTTTAGAAACTTTAGAAATGAGAAAAATTATTTAAGCCCTTCCTGGTTTTTATGAAGTATCTAATTTCATAATTTTGTTTCAGAAGAGATCACAAAATGGCTCTTCTTCAGATGGCAACAGTGGAAGAAGCTATCCAGGCCTTGATTGATCTTCATAATTATAATCTTGGTGAAAACCATCATCTGAGAGTGTCTTTCTCCAAGTCAACAATTTAAATGGGAGATGAAGATTGGGGGTGAATCACATTGTTTGGTGTCATCACCTATTGACTGTTCAGAAAAGTGGGGACCAGAGTTTGATTTTTTTTGTTGTTGTTTCCTTTTTTTTATTTTCATGCTGTTATCATTCCTTGGTTAGAAAATGAAATGGCATATGTAAAGGCAGAGTTACTGCTATATTTCATCTATTCTATAGAGAAGCCATTTTTATTGTCTGTTTAAAATTTCAGTTTAATTTTACTTTTTTTCAACTTAGTTGACATACGTGCCTTAAAAAGGAAAACTAGTGTTGCTATTGTGCATTTACTAGAAAAAAGGAATTGGTTGTCTAGGGCACATTGTTATATGGGAATTACAATATGTTTAGGCAGGGGTGTGTAAAAAGGTTAAGTTTTGTTTCTCCTGCTTGGAACTTATTTTCAATTATTGGCTTGTCATTTCTTTCTATTAATCAAATAAGATACATGATACTGAAAGAATAAAGCAGCATTTTTAGTTTATACTATCTTAGGCTTTATTGCTTTAAAAAGACATTGGCCTTTTGTATTTCACAATTCTGGTCTAGATTCAGTTATGAATGTAGGCATTAGTTAAAATTAACAAGATGCAGCGTATTACTTTCTTAATGCAACAAAGTGATTTCTGTAAGTTTGAGCCCTATGTGGAAAGCATTGTGGAATCTTAACCTTTTTGTACACACTCTTGTGGGACGTATCATATAAATGTCAGCACTAAGTAATGTCTTGTTTGTGGCTGAATATTTTTCGTAGATGTTTTTGAAGTTGACATGACTTACGTGCATTTAAATATATATTGCCATCCTTAGTTTGTAATTAAGATTTGGAAATATGGTTGTGGATTTCTGAGCATGTGCAGACTGGTCTAGCTAGTTCAGGAACTGGTGCATGTATTTTTCAAAGATAAAGAAAGTGTACTGCGAAAATTTGCAGGAAGATTAATTTTGTGGCAGTTTTCTAAAACTGACAACCAGGTGGGACCAAAGTTTATGTGCCTTTAGTCTTAATTTACCTTGCATTGTAATATTCAGTTTTAATAAATCTTCAAAAATATTTTGTATTTAGGTATAGATCTGACTTTAATAAAAACATGGCTCAGAATCTACAGGTCAAATTAATTTGAATAGTTCTTGTCAATATGAATTGTTGATTCTGTTTAAATGACCAATACTTTTTGAAATTGATGTACTTAGTTTCAAGATTCATAGATTCTGTTATCTATGTAGACAGAATGGTCATGTATATTTTCTATTAGTTGAGTTTTTACATCTTTAGAAATGTAAAATTCAGTATAGTTTGAAAGCGGCACAATTAAAAATTAATTTTCTAACAAAGTTGGGAGGTTTGATGGTTGTTTAATTTCATTTTGTGTGTACTCTGCTTACCTCTGTAGCATGCTCAATAAACACTTCTGTAGCTCTGTATTCACCTTTTCTGTCTTTCTCTGCTGCCTTTTCTCTCTTCTCTTCTTTGTTTTCACTCCACTGTGCTTCTAAATTCATGTTTATTCTCTGCCAGGGTGGGAAAGGAATAATAATTCTATGACTTTATACCATAAATAAATCTAGATGCTGTGAAAATATACCAGCTTTTTTTTTTTTTTTTTAATTTAAAAGATGGTAACTGCTTTTAAGGAGGACACATATTAAACATTTCCCACCCTGTAAAATTCTGCTTTAAAGACATAACTTATTGTAGCTTGTTAATTCTTTCTATCTTTTTTGTTGTTGTTATTTTTTTTTCCAGTAGATTTATGCACTGATAGATCTTTTGGATTTGCCATGCTCTCTTGCTGCAGTTTCATCTTTTCATCTTTTGTGTCTGCCAAAGATTTCCTACTAATCTGAGACTACTTTGTGATTTTTAACAATGGGTACTCGATGTTATTGGGAGGAAACAGTAACATATCTCCTGCTTTTGCCTGGGGTGGGAAGGAAGGTACACATTCAGGTATTTTAAAACTTAAGGGTTTTTCACTTTTTAAAGGATTCAGATTGGGGTACTATTTGTATTACTAAGAATGTTTTAATTCTTAACACAGGTTGTTGGTCCAGTGATTTTGGAGTTCTACTTGTTCCTTAGGTTTATTCTGACAGTTATGCAAAACTAATACATTAGGAAGATAAAAAAAAGAATGTGCTTTATATTATCAGAATATCCAGTCACCTTAAAAAATTACCATAAGGGTAATTGTTTACAATTGAGTCAAAACATTGGGGTAATTTGAAGGTAGGTGAGGTGATTTTTTTTTTTTTTTCTTAAATTAGCATGTGAAACAGGGGCACTCTAGCACCAACAGGTGGGCCTAAAGCCTGTGTTAAACCAATACCGTGGTTAATGAGTAATTGAGCAGCACTTCCTAAGTATTAAGTGGTGGTTGAAATACCCGAAAATAGGTACTATTCCCTTTTCAGGTAGTTTTTGTAGGTGGTACTAGCTTGGAAGAAGCAGCAGAAATCCTGAGATCTGCGTGGGTAAGTGAGGTTGTGCCATTTACTGACCTGGGATTATTCCCAGTATCTCTGATGGGCAATGGCCAGAAACCAAAATTCCTCCAGCAAAGGGGGTGGCAGATTCTGTGGTCCTTCCAAAACCAGCAAGTCAGGAAAAGGGCAATACTGGACATCCTACAGTATATTAAATAAACCCAGTCCTTAGTATGCAGTAAACATCTTCTGTAATTGGAGAAAATACAAGCTTTGTCATAATTTTTACAACTGTATGACTCAGCTTCAGACTCAATCTCTTACAGTAAAGTAGCTAACGGTGTCCTGTTCTTAAAGCTCAACTACTTCATAGACACTATCTAGAAAGATGTAACTTGGTTTTTTCTGTAACAAGAGCTCAGTTTTTTTGATATTAATGATTTCTTTTGGAAATGGGTTTGAAAGCAACTACTTAAGATATACATTTATACACTTTAAATTTTAGAATTTGAAAGCAGCTAAGAAAACCCTGACTTAATAGAAGGATAATGAATCATTTGATTTTTATTAGGAATATATTAGCTGACAGTTTTGAAAGTTTATATTAGTATAATCAGATTATAGTAATTTATTCATGGAGTTCTGTTTGGATTACCATATAGTTTTTAGGAAAAGGACAAGTCACTTTTCTAAGCCTCAGTATTCCTAATAAATGGGAAACAAATTCTGCCCTGCCTTTCTCACAAGTTTGTAGTGAAGCAGAAATACTGTGCAATTGTTAGGAGAAAGTTAGAATGCTAGAGGTTCCATGACTGCCAGGTAAGCCTATAGTAAACTTAGTTATCTAATAACAAATATTACCCTAAAATCTTTTTTGCTGTGAAGAACTATTTTTAATGTTTATAATTTGTTAATCTGATAAAGATGTAGCGAGCATGTACATAGTACATCCCAAAGCCAAAGGAGACTTTGCAATTAGCCTAGTATTTACTATTTTAACTATTTGATAACCAGTAATAAATCAGACCACTTAAAAACAAGGTTTTCTGTCATATATCCCTTTAAAGGTTGCTGTGAACCTTGAGGTAATTCTAATAGTCAAAGACTTTCAAAGACTATAAAAGAAAAGGCAATTTTGTGAGTAGCTCTGGTGTTCTAAAATGAGTTCCCTAGGCTTCCCTCATGGCGCAACGGGTTGAGTGCCATGCTGTGAAGCTGTCCACAGCCTCTGCAGCGCCACTTCAATTCCCAGCCAGCCAGGGAGCAACCCACATGGCACGGTGGACCTCTCCTGTCTCGCCCACTGCTCCCCTCAGCAGTGTATTTCGGTCCTTTTGCCTGTTCTGCTCCATCTCTGGTGAATTCTTGCACCCTCCTGTGCCTCTGGCCTGTACCCCAGTGCTTGTATAAAGAAATAAATCTTAAAAGATCAAATTAAATCTAGAGCTGAAAAACACAATGTTAAAAAAAAATAGTTCCCTGCTGCCTTAATTTTTTAAAAATTACCCTTTTTCATTTTCAAATAGGCAGAAAAATACAAAATAATGAACATCTATGCACTTAGCACTCACAACCTAACACTTTCTATACTGGGGGTGGTGGTGGGGAGGGTGGGAGGTGTGTGTGTGTGGGGGGGTGTGGGGAAGTGTGTGTGTGTGTTTAGCAGAAGCAAGTTTATTTAGAGAGAGAATAAAAGTACAACCAAGGGAAGGTCCTGGGTGGGCAGAGTCTAGGGAATAAAACTAGGCTTGGGTGGGGGAGATGGGGTACCTGGCTTAAATGGGATGCAAAGGGCTGCTTGTCCTGTCCCTTCTGGAGTATACTGTGCAGGTACTCCTGAGGTGTTGGTTTATTAGTCCAGACAGCCTTTTGAGGCAGGGGTTTGCCTTCCCCCCCTTTGCAACTTCTTCCTCATGTTTTAACAGCCTGCCTGTAGGTTGGGGTGGGGTACAGCCTCTCATCTGGCATTTATTTATTGGCGCACTGCTGACCTTACCTGCTTTGTCAAGTTCCTGAGGTCCTGGGCCATTAATTTTTTTTTTTTTTTTTAGGCATTGCCCTCTCTTCACTAAACTTAATAGTTGCACTCCTATAACTAATTAGAATCTGAGTGTGGCACAGTAACCTGCAATTTTAACAAGCTGCCTGGTGATCATTCTATAGAAAATCACAACTCAGGAACTTTTGCTTACTCTGCTTTTGAATGAACTCTGAGGCCTTATCCATTTACATTTTAGGATATCCCTTATCTAATTTCTGGGTGAAATTACAAAGCTGTTACTATTTATTTCTCAGACATAGCTAGATATTGACAGTGCAGTAACTAAAAAGCATTGCCAATATTATTAAAACAACATTCTAATTAGTACTAGATAAGAAGGCATGCATGTACATGTGTGCATATACAACTGTGTTCATTATTGGACTTAATGACTTTATTTTGGATTCACCTCCCATATTAAAGCAAATACCAGAAATAATTCATCATAGGTTTTCTGGCGTATTTCCCTGATAGAATTTTATTGTTGGTCATAGCCAATATTCGGTAATATTTAGGCTAGCTGAGTGTGTCAATGTTATAATTTCTTTAGATGCTAGAACCTTGCTCTTTAAAATGCAGCCTCAGACTAGCAGCAATTGGTATCACCTGGAAGCTTAGAAGAACATTTCTGACCCAGCCTCTGCATTTACCTGCTGAATCTACGATTTGACAAGATTGGCAGGAGAAATATTTGACATCACTGCTTGAGAAACACTCTAATAGAACATTTTTTCAGTTCTGTGAAAGTGTGCTTAAAAGGTCTTTTTTTCCCAAATGTGATTATTATGCTTTATTGGTAATTTTAAGTTATTCAATATAGTTATTAATGTTAAAGAATAATTGTAGAACTGAAAAGGACTTATATATAATATACATATATATTTTTCAAAAATGAATAGTTTAGGAACATTTATATCGACTTAACCTATAATTAAAATACAGGTCCCTGGGTTTCTAGTCTGGTCCTCTTATGTATTATTCTAATTATACATAGGAAATGGAAGCCTGTTATTTATAAATTAGAGCTACTGTAATTTAATATACAGTAGGTAAATGGCTAATAATAGAAGCCAATATTAAGTTTTTAGCACTAACATCAAATTTAGCCTGACAGGGAAAGAACTTAGAAGTGAATTGATTTTTCAAAATGAGTAACATTCTCAAGCTGACTCTATTATATCATACAGTAAATTAAAATGATGCTGTTGGGTCATTTTAGTATATACACAGCTTTCTTAATGAATGTTTCCTCAATCCCTTTCCCTATTGCAATTGGATAGTACAGTTTTATAGTTAAAATACCTAAAGCCTTACTAAATGATGACTGATGTTCTGACTTTAGAGCTGAGGAGTAAATGTAGATTAGCTGTGCCAGGCTGTGCCTTTAGGGGCTGTTACCCGCATCCTTGGAATGGTTTTTAATAATCTTGTAACTAGCAATTTTCTATGTTGTCCTATCTTCTGAGTATTTCTTGCTTACCACTCCTATTGCTGCCTCTAAACCTTGTTGCTTTAACCGTTCATCACTTATGCTATTTTATTTCTCTTTCAACCATCATTTTTCTTTGCAATTAAATTTCTTTACCCCTGTGACTTACATTTTTATAACCATAACCGAGTAGGTTATTCTTTTTTAGTTAAGGTTAATGAATTGACAAGTGATAGTGCATTGCATATAATACTCAGATGTACTGCTTTTGTCTGATTCACTTAAAATCTGTTATTTTAATTTTTTAAGCCTCTGGGATTATAAAGATGCAGGTGGTTCAAGTCACCAGAAGCCTTGATAAACCTTGATACACACAAACACACACACCTATCTATACACCCTAGTTAATTTAACTCTGACGTAGGGAAGTTTGTTAAA